CTCCACGAGCAAAAGTGGCTTCAAACTGCGTCGATGCCAGAACCCTGAGAATGGATTTGAACCATGAATAAAAGTGAATTAAAGCTGCTATATTTAGCTTATTGAAGCATCAGTTTAATGGTAATAAATCTGCTGATATTGCTACAAATGTAACTTTTCTTGTCTTATTAACTTTTACCAGTGGTACTGCTAATTGCAAATGAAAGGTCCCATGTTATACCAAGTTAATATAGTCTCTCATATGTCCCTAGAAAGACAAGAATAGAGCATTTTCTCATATTTTGAGGGTCCCCTAGACACACTGGGACACATAATTATGTTTAATAAAAACTATTCAAAGCTGTATTTTGCATAATACGACCCCTTTAGGACTACTTTTCCCATCAATGTCTTACTTTCTGTTGCAAAAAAGAGAATAGTTGTTATTAGTTATTGATTTTGTATTCTCTGTTCACACCTAAGTTATTATTCTGAAAGATCTTATTTAATTCCACAATCTGTGTTTGCCAGACAAACACAGATTAAACAGAAACAGCACTTCAGCCTGAATCTTGTGATATCTGATCAAATGTAGCTGGAAAAGGCCACAAATCGTGTCACTGATTTACTGCATTTACCTAAATGATGGTAAAATACATACATTTAAAAAGCGTAGAAGTCTGATGTTCTTACCGGACTTCCCCGCTGCTGGTGCGGTAGCTGCTCTTGTAGAAACCATGGAAGCTGTCCGACAAGTTGGCAGCGAACCCCAGCTGAACTTCGTACTTCCTGCCTTTGGTCAGCACCGAGTCTGACAGCAGGGCCAGCTGATGGAAGCGAGGATACTCCAGGACCTGAAGGGGCTTCACTCCTTCGGGCGCCAGCAGCAGCGCGCCGGATATCTGTAAATGCTTGGAGTGGAGGATCACGGTGCTGGTGTCTTCATGGACGTCCAGCTCAATGCGAACAACGCCGCTGAAGTCCAGGGAGGTCAGGTTGGGGTGGAGGTTCAGGTCGTAGTGGAGGGGCGAGACGGTTTTGGGAAGCCTCATGCGATCCCAGGGGAAGGGCTGCCCGTTGGTGGCTATGGGAGCCTCTTTGGCTTGGTTCTGATTCGGGAGCTGTGCTCCAAGTGAGGGAGGAACGGAGACCAAGAGCAGCAGCAGGAGAGGAACCAACATGGTGACGGTGAAAACAGGAAATCCTCCCACCTGAAATATAAAAAACACATTTAAGTTTAGCAGTAATTATAGTCGACCTGTCCAGGGTTTGATCCAGCCGGGATAGGCTCCAGCCCCCCGTGACCCCAGTGAGGATTAAGGTGTAGAGATAATGGATGGATTAATTGTAGTGTCCAGAGGTTCAGGGGTATCAGTCTGTTTCACCAGCTCATCCAGATTCTCTCACGCTGAACAAACAAATCCAGTGTCGCCTTTTTGTCTTTGACTTTCTTCAACAGCTGCAGCGTCACACTGCACCAAGATCAATATGATCTCCACATTAATGAGCAGTTCACACACATGGCACAGCAGAGGACTTCACTCACAGTCAGCTCAATAATATGAACTCCTGAGTGGTCACTCGTGTAGCCTCAGTACCTTAAATCCTTTTCTACAGGCTGAGCTGCAGCAAAGATTTCTACAGTGGAATAATGAGGCTGAGCTCAGGTTGAACTCAGCTCCACCACAGCTGTACATGTTAAGTTTCAGGAAACGAAGAGTTGTAATGGATTAGTGGCATGACTGCAAACATGAACTGATCACATCACTTAAGCATTACATACAGCCTACTTTCATTTTTAGCTTTCGTAGGAATGTTAAAAAGCACAATTAAATCAAAAATGAGAGTGCTCATGATGTTCCACGGTGGTGACTGTCTATAGACTGCTCAAAAAAGTTTGACTTAAATCGTTGATATACACCGTTTGATTTATTGAGAACAGAATGAAGTACGAATGGGCCGTGGAAACCAAAACCAGTCACCTACTGATGTAGATCAGGGGTCTCAAACTCGCGGCCAGCGGGACGATATTTTGTGGCCTCCCTACTTGATATCAAAGTTTATAGTGAGTGCGACCCCAGCGTTGGGGGTCTCGACTGCTTTCTCTCTCAAACCAAATGTGGCTCAGCTGTGATAGAAGAAACGCTGCCAGGACTCTGGCAGCAAGGAGTAGGTCAGGGAAGCCCATGTTCTGAAGAACCGTTCATGTTCTGAATTATTATTCATAAAGATTGATCAGTTGTACATTTTTGTGGAATACTTGATGCGGCCCAGCTTCACCCAGACCTCCACCCAGGTAGGGTGAGTTTGAGAGCCCTGGTGTAGATAGTTTGACATAATCTGAGAATTCTGACTCACCAATTTAGTTTGTTTTAGTTTGAAAATGACTCGTACAAACCCGCAGCATCTCTTTGCAGTAACAGAGCCGGACAATGAACAGATGACAGCGTGTAAAGTTTTAACTGGAACTACTTCCTACTGAGGAAATGGTTTTTATTTCTACTGTCCGTAGTCTAGTCAGTGACCTGATCTCACTGGATAAGGATCCCCTCCTCACAAACCCCATTCTAACCTCTGGCAGTGTTCCACTGTAAATATTTTACAGCTAACTTGACAGTTAATCAAACTTCTGCCATGCAGACACGCTTCATGCAAACAGCCGAGGAAATGCAACGCTTTCGACTTCACACAAAGATCCATTCATTCATTCTCACGATTCACAATCAGCAGGACTCATACATCACCAAAACCGAGGAGCTAAATCATCTGTTATCTCACATTCTTAATCTGAATCAACTGTGTGAAATATTTGTTCTGTAAAATGTTAAAGTTACCTCGTCGTCTTCTGCGCGCAGCTTCAGTCAGTCAGAAGTGAAAGTGAAACTGATGGAGGAGGAATTGCATGCTGGGAGAAACCAGAGGACAGCACACTGAGCTGGACACATCATTTAAAGTGTGTCACCTGCAGCTCAGGTGGCAGGACGCTAAATTCCAGGTGACAGTCTTGATTTCAGCTCGTCTGCTGCAGGTCTGCAGCTCAAACCTGCACAACAGAGAAAACATGAAGAGTTCAGCAGCAACAGGTTCTGCAGAGTCACTGGGTCATGCACGGTGCTGGAGAAAAATGCACAAAAGCAAGACTGAGTGAATTAAGAAGGAAGCGAGGAAAGAAACAGGAAGTTCCGTGTTGTTGTGGTGCGCAGTGACATGTTTCACCACTAGAGGGCGCCACCGCTTTGAATAATTCTGGTTCCTGGTTGTTTTCTGTTCCCCCCTCACATCAATACATTTACAGAACTTTCTAAGATGAATTAATATAATCAAAATTAAACTGAACACACAAGAATTTACTGCAAATTAATAGACAGTCAACTGTCCCATTGTGAATATGTAGAGGAAACCAGGGAGAGACGCCCACCTCAGGAACTGATGTGAACAAATTTAGAAATCTAGAGCAAAATTAAACCATACCAGCCCACAGCTTTTACTATAATAAAACAAACGTGAGATCTTTTAAAGGGTAGTCTCCCCTGGGTCATGCAGTCCCTGATAGAAAAGCAATGAGACGAATCATTACTGAAAATGTGTGGATATACGCATCAGTAGGCTAAAATAAGACTGGAATAAAAAAAAAGTAGGAAGTAATGTTGGATATGATACTGAAGTAAAAAAGTAATTTTACACATGGTAATGAAATACGGTACATGAAACTGAAACATCACACATGATAATAAAAAAAAAAACTGCAAATGAAATTGAAATATATTCAATTCAATTATTATTTTTTTATTAATATAGCACCAATTCACGACATGTGTCATATCGTGGCAGAAGCAAAGCTGCCTTATGGATTCTCTGTGAGCAAGAAGTGGTGGGAAGGAACCAAAAAAAAAAGAAAAAACCTTTAACGGGGAGTAAAAATAAAAACCTCAAAGGTTCAGTGAAGGCGGCCATCTGCCTCCACTGGTCGGGGTGAGAGTAAGAATGAGGGGGCAGGAGATGGCAAGATAATGTCTGATAATTACCGTAATTTTCAGACTATTGAGGCACCTGAATATAAGCCGCACCCACTCAGTTTAAAAAGAAAACCAGTCTTGTACATATACAGGCCGTACTTGTCTATCAGCTGCAGGTGTCCACGTTGGAACACTTCCTGTAACACGGCTGGTTAAGGAAATAAAACTCCAGCAGCTACCAGGAAAAGTCACTGATCGCTATCTTCATCTTCCTCCTGCACTAAAACCACTAAAGTCGTCTTCTTCAGTGTCTTCAGGAGCTGAACAGCCTCAGAATCACTTCGTCACTTCCTCAGTCTCTCTGTTGTTGTCGCTCTCAGCGTCACTTTTCAAGGCAAAAAAAAAATCGTAAAAATCCATAAATTAGCCGCATCATTGTTTAAGCTGCAGTGTTCAAAGCTTGTCTCATAGTCCAGACATTACGGTAGACATTGCAAAGATAAAATGGAAAAGAGTGTCTTGAAATGTGACCATCTGGTTTCATGGATATATTATTATTATTAGAGTGAAACCTTTTTTAATTCAGTAAAATAAAACTTGGAAGAGGTACCATCATGGCTACAGCTGTGGATCCAACTGAAGAGGCCAGAAAACCGACATTTAGAGTTGAACAGGGTGTTTATTTAACATGTCAAGAAAATGGGAGCTATAGAGCTCAGATAGGCTGGATGGGGAACCATCAGGGCATCTACAGAGCTGCAGCAGGTTCAGAAGCTGGATCTGAATCATCCGTGGAGCTGCAGTCGCAGAGGAAACAGTTAATCAGAGTTAATCAAAGCAGAACTGCTGACTGAACAGCAGAAGGACCGATAATGGATGGAAGGTGACTGACTGCATGAGAGAGTCTGTTCTGGCAGAGCTCAGCATTTGAAGCGGGCTTGATGATCCGGATGAACTGCAGCTGCTGAAGCTCTGTTCAGGCTGCAGAGAACCTGCATCCGCCGCTGCAGTAAAACACACAAATACACAGAACAGAGTGGCTGCAGGCGATGGAGGCTGAGAGCGTGACAGGATCAGGTTAGGATGGGTCCAAGTGACAAAGAAAGTCTGAATAAATCCAAAACACACATGCAAGAAAAAGAGAGTTTTGTTTTTCATATCAANGAGACGGTTTTGGGAAGCCTCATGCGGTCCCAGGGGAAGGGCTGCCCGTTGGTGGCTATGGGAGGCTCTTTGGCTTGGTTCTGATTCGGGAGCTGAGCCCCAAGTGAGGGGACGGGGACCAAGAGCAGCAGCAGGAGAGGAGCCAACATGGTGACGGTGAAAACAGGAAATCCTCTCACCTGAAATATAAAAACACATTTAGGTTTAGCAGTAATTGTACTGTTCAGAGGTTCAGGGGTGTCAGTCTGTTTCACCAGCTCATCCAGATTCTCTCTCACGCTGAACAAACAAATCCAGTGTCGCCTTTTTGTCTTTGACTTCCTTCAACAGCTGCAGCATCACATTGCAGCAAGATCAATATGATCTCCACATTAATGTGCAGTTTACACACATGGCACAGCAGAGGACTTCACTGACAGTCAGCTCAATAATATGAAACTCCTGAGTGGTCACTCGTGTAGCCTCAGTACCTTAAATCATTTTCTACAGGCTGAGCTGCAGCAAAGATTTCTACAGTGGAATAATTTCTTCTGAGGAAATGGTTTTTATTTCTACTGTCAGCAGTAAAGTCAGTGACCTGATCTCACTGGATAAGGATCCCCTCCTCACAAACCTCATTCTAACCTCTGGCAGTGTTCCACTGTAAATATTTTACAGCTAACTTGACAGTTAATCAAATTTCTGCCATGCAGACACGCTTTATGGACATGACAGTGCAGGAACATGACCGAGGAAATGCAACGCTTTCGATTTCAAACATTCATTCATTCTCACGATTCACAACAGCAGGACTCATACATCACCAAAACCGATGAGTTAAATCATCTGTTGTCTCACATTCTTAATATGAATCAACTGTGTGAAATATTTGTTCTGTAAAATGTTAAAGTTACCTCGTCGTCTTCTGCTTCAGCGTCCGTCAGTCAGAAGTGAAAGTGAAACTGGTGGAGGAGGAATTGCATGCTGGGAGAAACCAGAGGACAGCAGACTGAGCTGGGCACATCATTTAAAGTGTATCACCTGCAGCTCAGGTGGCAGGACGCTAAATTCCAGGTGAGAGTCTTGATTTCAGCTCGTCTGCTGCAGGTCTGCAGCTCAAACCTGCACAACAGAGAAAACATGAAGAGTTCAGCAGAAACAGGTTCTGCAGAGTCACTGGGTCATGCACGGTGCTGTAAAGAAATGCACAAAAGCAAGACTGACTGAATTAAGAAGGAAGCGAGGAGACAAACAGGAAGTCTCGTGTTGTTATGGTGCGCAGTGACATGTTTCACCACTAGAGGGCGCCACCGCTTTGAATAACGACGGTTCCTGGTTGTTGTGGGNTTTAAGTGATTATATATCCCTAAACTGGCAGAAGAATAGCTTTTAGCCATAAATTCAGCTTAATGGATCCATGCAATCGTTAAATATGTCGGTTCTTTTATAAACCAGAAAATCACTTCAGATCATAAGTTTGCTGGAGAAACGACAAAGTTTCCAACAAACATTTGTGTGAATGCTAAAAATAAATGGATGTTGGGCGCCCTCACCGTCGTGCTCAGAGGGATAAAGTCCATCCTGTCTACAAACATTAATGAGTAAACTTTACAATGACTTGGTCGTGGGGGAGTTAACTTCAGCAGATGCACTGGTGCTGCGTTTGGGAATCAGATGCAGCAGTTTTCATTTGCATATCTCTGGATTTATAAACAGGCCCAAGAAGCTCCTGATCTCTGTCAGGCTGAAGGTTCAGGCTTAAAGAGGAGCTGGTTTTAGGGATAAGAATGATCAAAAAGGCTCTGATTGGGATTCTGTGCAGCGCCGTCGTACTGGCCGTAGGCATCCTAATCGGTCACTATGGTATCAGCAGCGGCAGCTCGGCGCCGTCCTGGATGCAGAACGTGACGAAGGATGTGGATGAAAGCTTCATCGAGAAGTTCTTGTCTGAGGTGGACACCGTCCATATTCAGGAAAACCTGCGGTAAGCTGATAAATGATCAAGTTTAGATGCTTTTTATTTGTTACGAATGTGAGAAGAATAAATTTAACTTCAGTTTTCAAAGTGAGAGCCGAGATACTCAGTTTGTTCACATTGAAGCATCTCAGTCTAACTTAACTGAAGCACTTCTTCCAAGGCTAACAGGAATCATTTCATAGATATTTGTAGAGTTTCTTAAAAAGCAGATGGTCGTGAAAGCTTGTGCCGTTCTCAAGCACTGCTGTGGATTTTAGACAATCGCCTCCACATGACTGAATCAAACTCTCCTTCATCCTGCTCTTCTCCACAGCGAGCTGACCGATATGCCCCACATGGCCACCACAGCTGGAGATGAGAAGACAGTGCAGGTGATGCTGAAGAGATGGCAGGACCCTGGCTACGGTCTGGACGACGCCTGGAGAGAGGAGTACGACGTGTACCTGTCCTTCCCCAATGCCAACAAACCCAATAAGGTCACTGTAGGTGAGTTGAGCTGTTGACTGAGCCGCCGGTGACCCAGAGAGATTCGTGTATTTACCAGCAGAACTGTGGGTTGTTAATTTCAGTGAACGCCGAAGCCGCCGTGCTGCACTCCATCAGAGAGAAGGAGAAAGCTTACACCGACGACCAGAAGGATCCCGACGTGGTCCAACCGTACGCCGCATACTCGCCTCCAGGAAACGTGAAGGTAGAAACCTGCACCGCTCTGAATCCTGAACACTACATTTAGTTGGTAAATATGTTAGTCGTCAAACAGAAAAGTCAGAAAAGTGTTGATTCACTCTGTATCTAGTAGCTTCTTTATCTTTGCTAACCAACCAGAGTCTTTCCATTTAGTGCACGATGGAAGAAAAACATCACAAATGATAAAAACACCCATATAACTTTATACGTACACGGCAATATAGCATCACAAAAAACACTTTATTGCAGGTCTGTGCAACGATCTGTCTCCAGGTTTATGGGATACGGGCTTAAAGGATTTATCATTTCTGAGAAGTAATTGCAGAAACTATAAAAAAATCACATGATGGTCACATTTGCTGTCTCGGTGACAAACAAAATGATCGTGTTTTACTGCTCTAACCTTTGAAGCCCCATTCCTAAACCTCTTGGATCTTCTGATAAGGAACATTTTGTCTGTTGCTCACCGTGAATGTGAGCTCATTGGAACAGAGCGAGGCGTGGGTTCGACCCTCGCAGGGACTTGAAGAACTAATTTAATCCTCAAGCATCAATTTACAACAGCTACAGAATATATTAATATTATTTTATGACTTATTTCTTTTGTACTTCTTTTTTACATCAATCCTGATAAATATTTACCAAATGTTCATTTATTTTCAAATCAATTCAAATAACTTTATTCATCCAATTCAAAAGCACACTGAGGAGTTCGATATAAAAGAGGGAAAAAAATAAACCCAAACACATAAAAACACAATAAACCACATCATAAATATCATCATAAACCTGCAGCGCATTTGTGGAAAAGGTCAGCAACTCCATGAAGAGAGCAACACTTCATACACCAGTTGAAATAATACCTTTTTCTTTTTCTTTTTTTAATATAAATATAATATATAAATCTGGGATGTGTCAGTAATCATCACCAACACGATTTCTTATTGTTTTTTATGTCAGATTTTTCCTTGTGGGGACCTTAAAGACGAAAATGTCCTCATCAAGAAACTGCCTTTAAAATATTATATGTTTTATTATTTTATACTTCCAGCAGGTCATTTTTTAAACCACTGTTGGTCCTGATGAGAAGAATTTTTTCAGGATTTTAACCTTTCATACGTCAGTTTGTCGACATTAATGGAAAAAACAAGGCCACAGAAAATGAAATATTTTCTATATAATAAGTTCTAAGTGATCTTTTTTTAATTTCTTTTAATAATCACAGCCTGGAACGTGTCATTGATGAACAACAAAAGTGTGTATGCAGTGTAAGGTTTAAAAACAAACACGACAAACTCACACTCAGGACCTTGAAGACTAAACGTCCTCGTAAAAAAACACCATAAAAAACATGATAACATTATTTTTACTGACTAATCTTTTTAAACCACCATCAGTCAAGATCATAATAACCACATATTTATTCATTTTCAGGTTTTTATCCCAGTTTGTTTACATCATGTCATTGTTGTTTTCTTATTAAAAAACATTTTATTATTATCTATACAATATGTGCGAATAAAAAAACATTTCTTTTAGATGATGACAGTCTGGAATGTGTCAGTGGTCAGAACCAACACTGATCATAATGCATTGTTATTACTATTTTTATTATTTTATTTTTTATGTTCGGAGCCTGAAGGAACAATAACGTCTCCATCAAACAACCTGCCAGAAAATGTTCTGCATTAAAGAATAAAGTGGCACAAAAAAAGGGAAAAAAAGTGGAAAATGCTTTAGTTTACATCTGTCTATACAATAAAGGGAAATGTAATTAAAAATTTGAGGGACAGAAACATTGAGAAAGCTCCAGATGCAGCGTTTATCCAAACCTCAAACCTCCAAAACTTCTTTATTCGACACATCACGGCCACAAACGTGCTGCAGCTGCATCTGGACAAACTTGGAAACGCTCCCAGATGTGATAGAAATGTATGAAAAGGATTCATGTTGAAGGAAAACAAGGCTAAAAAAAATGACAGTATGTGGACACAATCAGCAAATAAAACAAAGAATCAAATGATAAAAAACAGATTTGATTTTCCTGCTGCTGGTTTAATGGTCTCACAATCATCTATTTCCTAGCAGATGTACCGTCGTTAAAGCTGAAGCCTTATCGAGAGCTGATAACATTGCAAGTTATTTTGTAGACTGAGTTACTAAACCAGCAACAGACAATCTGTTAAGGCCCAAAATGGCCGTAATAAAGCTGAAATGAACGAGGGGGCTGTGATAAGGCATCAAATAAAGACACATCCAGCATCATAAATTGGAGCAGAGCCACGATTTAAATGTCATAAAGTAATCAAGCCGCACAGTTTTGGCATCAGGTCTCTGGGTTATAGTTTGATTGTTGATCCTTCTGCTGGTTTTCAGGGACGACTGGTTTACGCCAATCAGGGGAAACCGAGCGACTACGAACATCTGAACCAGACGCTGGACCTCAGAGGAACCATCGCCATCACCAGATATGGAGGAGCAGGAAGGGGAGCTAAAGTGAGTCGCATTGTTTAGCTCCTGACTTCTCGACTATTATGCCAGTTTGCATTTTGAGCGTTTTGGCGAGTGCAGTCAATATACTCACATCTAATCTTTTAATTCCACTTTTTTATGGAGACAGTGAAGGGTGTGGAGGACAAACATGCAGCATCTTCATTATTTTATGGTCCAACAAAGCGAAGCCAAGTCGTCCTTCACAATTTTAAAATGAGATTGTGCATGTGAAGCGACGCCCCCATGAGGACACTCAGGAAATAACCACGAGCTGAGTGACATAGTTCTGCTGAAAGAGAGTTTTACAATCTTTTATTATGATCATTGACCCAGTTGCTCTTTACACAAGTTGCAGAAATCATTAATCTGCACCGTGTAAGTACAACATGTACCTACAGTTTTGTTTTTTAACCTTATATTAGCAACAGGTTGTTTTTTTCTACCCAACATAATCCCCAGATGAGTGAACACTGACCAATAACAGTTTAGTCAGTAACATCTCAACAACAAAATTGGCATTTATGGCAAAGAGGCAAGGATTTAGATTCATTAAATAATATAAATAAACTGTGATACTGTATGTTTTAAAACCCCTCAAGTTTAACCCTTAAACAGAAACATTGCCACGCCCATCCTGGCCATACAGGCGCATCTCATATAATTAGAATATTGTGGAAAAATGTTTTTCATCAGCTCAAAGTGAAAATTATAGATATTCTAGACTCATTACACATAAACATGAACATGCTTTTTAGAGTTTTGCACCATAAATCCTTTTTAAAATGGATCTTTGTTGACCTTTTGAAACACTCTACCATTTGGAGATTACTTTTGGGGGATTTCATGAGCTGTAACATCAAAGTTAAAACAAATAAAGGCTTTGAAATATCTACAAGATTCACTTTGAGCAATGACTGACGAGAGATATTGAACTTTTCCCACCATATTCTAACTATGTAAGAAACACCTGCAGCAGTACTAACCATCCTTGTGCCACATGTGGTGGTTGAATAATGGTTCTACTGATGTGTTTCCTGGTTTAAATGCATTTCATACTGAGCTGATTGAAACATGCAAACACTGAATTGTTTTCCTGTGCCCCATCCAGGCCATCAACGCGGCACCCTACGGCGTCGTCGGTGTGCTCGTCTACACCGACCCGCTGGACATCAACGACGGCCTCATGTCAGACGCCAGCGAGACGTATCCTCACTCGTGGTACATGCCGCCCTCTGGTGTGGAGAGAGGCTCCTTTAACAGAGACTTTGGAGACCTGCTCACGCCTTACCTGGCTGCCAAAGGTAACCAGTGACTCAATGTGGCTGCACTTTGGCTCCAACACAGCCGTGACACTTCTGGTCAAGTCACTGTTAGCTATTTGATCTCAGCACCTAACTGTTGTGTGAATTTGTTGAGAATAATCACGTGTTTTGCAGAGGACACCTACAGAATCTCACCAGAGGACATCACAGGGATCCCCCCCATTCCAACCCAACCAATCGGATTTGAGGATGCCTACGTATTAATCTGGTCGGTGATGAGACAAATCTGATGATAAAATAGCTCAAAATGGTTGCTTTTAGTTTTAATCCAACTTCTTTCCTTTTTTAATGTATTCCAGTGCGCTGGGTGGAGACGCAGCTCCCAGTACGTGGCAGGGAGCCTTCAACTGTACCTACAATGTGGGTGGTCCAGGGTTCAGCTCAGCGTCTGCCTTCAACAACAGGTAACAAGTTACTCAGAAGCAGCTTTTTCATTTCTACAAACCACAGAATGTTGTTTTTTCCTTTAACTGTTACCTGTTTTCTCTTTATTCACTGTATTTGGATGCTTTCAAACCTCCACGTCACTGCTTTTCCCAGTGATTCCAATAAATAAATAAAATCTAGATTATGAAGTGAAAATGAAATTGCAAGTCAGTCAGATTATTTTTCTTCTCTTTACAATGAAATATCAGACCTTTTACATCTGATCAGATTGTTCTAAAAGCGTCCTGTTGGAGGCGCAGCAGCAGCATTGCAGAGGAGAGTCCTTCATGCTGCTCTTCCTGGTTGCTTCTGAATGAAAACCTCTTTTTCAGTGATGTGAAAATGGACATCTACAACTACGGAGAGGTGAAGAAATCCGCCAACGTGATGGGAGTTATCAAAGGGAGCGTCGAGCCAGGTGAGACTAATGACTGAGCCGAAACCAGCGACTCGGTATCGACTGTTTTCTGATCATTCTGCTCCGTGTGTTGTCCACAGACAGGTATGTGATCTATGGAAACCACAGGGACAGCTGGGTTCACGGCGCCATCGACCCGAGCAGCGGGACGTCCGTCATGCTGGAGCTGACCAGAGTTCTGGGCAGGATGGTCAAAGAAGGTGAGGAGGCTCAAAGCTGGAGTGAATATGAGCTCCTTCACAGGGAGTTAATCTCTGTGTCTCTCTATGGCAGGCGTGTGGAGGCCTCGGAGGTCCATCATCTTTGGAAGCTGGGGAGCTGAGGAGTTTGGACTCATTGGGTCTGCAGAATACACAGAGGTGATTTATGATTAAGGGCTGCAGGGTGGTTCAGTGGTTAGCATAGTTGTCTCGCAGCTAGAAGGTCGCCGGTTGGCGTCCCGGTGAGGACACCCAGGATCTTCCTGCGTGGAGTCTCCATGTTCTCCCCGTGCAGCGTGGGTTCTCTCCGGGTTCTCCGGCTTCCTCCCACAGTCCAGAAACATGTTGAGGTTAATTGGTGATTGTAAATTGTCCGTAGGTGTGAATGTGAGTGTGCTTGGTTGTCTGTCTCTAAGTGTAGCCCTGTGATAGACTGGTTACCTGTCCAGGTGAACCTGCCTTCACCCTGAGTCAGCTGGGATAGGCTCCAGCCCCCCATGACCCTAGTGAGGATGAAGGTGTAGAGATGATGGATGTATGGGTACACAAATGTTTAGGCTCATCAGTCTTTTGGAGTTAACCAAATTCAACCAGCGAACTATGATAAGTCATTATAATTTGTTTTTCCTCTACAATCAGTTGTATTTTAAATGACCACCAACTTAATAATTGGAAGCATGAACTAAGGGCTGGAATACTGATCTCAAAGTGGAGATAAATGAAGTTATTAACCTAATTTAATTAATCTACTACAACTTGAATTGTGTTTGAATTCAATGAACTCCAAATCAACAGCTTGAATTTTTATCTTGCGTTAATAAAGAAAGAAATACTTTAAACTGAATCATTTCACTTCGTTATTCAGGTTTAAATGCTGCTTTTACACTCATGACCTTGATCTTGTGTCTCCTTCAGCAATACTTCGCCAAGCTCAGCGAACGCGCCATCGCTTACATAAACGTGGACATAGCCGTCTTTGGTAAGAGGTTTCACTGGACTGTCTACCACAAGTAAATGGAAATGTCTTTAATTCAGTCACACAGCACACAGAGAACAGAATTCATCCAAACTGCAGGTGCAAAACCTTCAAAGATCTTTGGAAGAATTCCACTTTTTGGCCAGTTGAAATTTAAACTAATGTTCTGTACGTACTCAAATAGAAATATTTTGTTAACTGATCGTGCTGCTAATCCAGAAGCGTCCTTTTCTTGCTCCCCTCAGCCAACGCCACCCTCAGAGCTTCAGCCATGCCGTCACTAGAGAGCGTTATCTTCAAGGCTACCAAAGAGGCGAGCGCTTTAAACTCAGTCAATTCCAGTGTTTCTCTCCAGCTTGAATACAAACTACTGTCCAAGAATCCGTCACATCAAAGTGTTTGTTCTGCAGGTCAGCGCGCCCGGAGAGGCCTCCACGTCTGTGTACGACGCCTGGATACGTCATTCAAACAGGACCAGTCCCACCCACGGACTCATTCCCAAGTATGGCTGTCAAGGTTTTCAGCAGAAGATTTCCTCTCATGATTCGTGTCTGTATGCTGTTTTTTAAATGCTAGAAAACGTACCACGACCACAACGAGCAGTCGACACCATGGCTGAGCATTTCCACCTTAAAACTGCAGCGGACCAATGATAGCCTCAGAAACACAGATTCAAACAACCCTGGTTTCATAGCAACCAATTCAGTCAACTGGCAGATTAATTACTCCAGTATTTCAACTTACTCGAGTAGCTTTACAGGGTTTGTACAGAGTCATAGGTGAGCTGGTGTGCTCCAGCTGCAACAACTGGGGAGGGATGCATGAAGGGGGAGGCCTTTAAGATCTGAATCAACAGTATAGAGTTACATCTAAGGCTGCAAGGTGGATCGGTGGTTAGCACCGTCGCCTCGCAGCTACACCCTAGTGAGGATGAAGGTGTAGAGATGATGGATGGATGGATTACTGAGCTGCACCAAGTAGCCGTATCTTTAAGAGTACACGCCGATTTGGACGACAATGTTCACCAGATCAATTTTAAAATCCTGCATGAGTTGAGACGGTGCGGCAGAGGATTGTAAACATTGAGAGAAACTGTCAGAATCAGAGACGAGGCTGCTCTTGATGGGGCAACAAATGATCTTCATCTGGATGTAAACCTAAATGTTCAGTAAAAACATGAACAAATGAGGTTTAATACTCATTTGTAGCGTGTGATCTTAACCTGTTGAGTTATTGAACAGGCAGCACATTGTTTAAAAAAAATAAAAACTGCACATTCTTGCATTTTTAAATCAAATCCTTGTTTTAAAAGCTCAGCTTTGCTAACTATACCTCTGAAACAGGATGTGATTTATGATCTGGGTTGAGCGATGGTTTGCATTAATTATAGCGTGTGTGTCGCCACAGAAGTGACAGATCTGTCTGCTCTCATTAAAATAAAAAACGATGTTTGGTGCTTTCTGTCTTCCTTGGACAGGTTGGGATACCTGACAGGAGCGGGGAGTGACTACGCTGCCTTTGTGCATTACCTGGGAATCAGCTCCATCGACATGTCGTACACATACGACAGGGTAATGAAGCCGTCCTCATTAACTCGCTGTGTGACATGTACACAGCAGAGCACTGCATGCTGTTGACTTCAGAGCTTTTTGTGCTGAATGTAGTCGAGCATTTGCATGGAAAGAAAACATTTTCATGAGAAAGTTAGATGATGATATATGTTAGTTATTGCAGCTGAATGTTTTGGACACAGAAAGCTGCAGAACTAGATCTGAAAAGTGTTGATTTTATTTCTCATTTGAAATAAACTGTCTCCCAATAAATAAAAAAAAAAAAAGAGAAAACAATCCAGAATTTAACTGAACTCATTCAGTCAATCGTGTAATTTTAACCATGTGGGTGTTTTTCCTCACACAGAGTAAAACAAATGCCCGGATTTACCCCGCTTACCACACAGCCTACGACACTTTTGACTACGCTTCAAAATACATCGATCCTGGTAAGAGATGCTGAAGAAATCTTTTTTTTCATATCTAACCTATTATCAGCTTGTTTTTTCCTGCCGTCAGATTTGACAAATGAAAAGGCAGCAGAACATTTTCCTGGGAATTCCTCTTGTCTTTAACATCTCCCACCACTCCCTCTCCCTCTCAGGGTTCGTCGGCCACCAAGCCGTCGCCAGGACGGCAGGAAACATCCTGATCCGATTGGCCGACAGTCTGCTGTTGCCATTTAACTGCAGCGACTACGCAGAGATCCTGGAGGCCTACCTCAACACGGCAGTGAGCCTGTATCAGCAGCAGCTACAAGCTCATAAGATCTCCATCGGTAAGCTCCAGACAGACTGGTGGAGATGTTACGCAAGTAAATGCAATTCTCTAAGTTTTATGTTTCGTGTCAGTTAGAGGGATTAATGTCTCATGTAGGGCATTTATTTATGACCTTCTGCCATCTTGGGTTCAAGTCGTATTTCTTATAGTGTTCGGCTTGAGTATTACCCAGAATGCCTCTTGCAGCAGAGATAGCATCTACAGACAAATTAAAGGAAAAACCAACATAAAGCATCTTAGCGAGGTGTTGGGACACCGTGTGCTACCAGAATAGCACCAAAACTCTTTGGAATTTATTCAGTAAGTCCTGTGTTATCATCCAAAAGAGATCACCTCCATCAAGATAGATATCTAATGACCCTTCTCTCCAGTGGGAACAAGCAGCACCTGAACCATGCCAGCAAAAAGCCCCCCACAACATAACAAAGGATCCCCTCACTGTGCATCAAGGGCTTTTCTTCCAGGATGAAATCTTTACTGTGAGGCTGCAGTGATCTGTATCTTATTCCAGAACCTCTGAAACGTGCAGTGGCCTTGTTCCGCACCAATGCTGAGGACCTGGAAACGGTGATTCGCAATTCAGACCTGGTGAATGAAACGTAGGTGCTCACACGTCCACGTATCAACACTCTGTCATCTCCTTCACACCAGAACATCACACCAGCCGCTCTCTCTCTTTCCTCTCAGGCCGCTGAAGGTCCGACGGATCAACGACCAGCTCATGTTGCTGGATCGAGCTTTCTTGGACCCTCTGGCCTTCCCGGATAAATATGCTTTCAGGTAAGAAGGTGATGTGGCGCGGCCCTGGGGAGTACGAGCTGGTTTCTGGGGCTGCAAGTAGAACAAATGAGGCTGCCGTGTGAAAGAGGGTAAAAGGAACAAGGAGTCAGCAAAGGTCCACTGCTTATTTTTATGTCTTGCAGCATTAATCTGGAGACGCTGTCGTGGCTACACCCACTGTTTTAATGAGGTCCTACGCTGAAAAATCTAGTTTTTAGATTTGTTAACATACACAAAATAAGCAGGCTGAGCATTCCACCTCGATGGCGGTTCTGGGGTTTCATATCTCGTTGTGTGTGCTCCTTGCATACGATGACAATAAAGGAATCTAATCTGATCAAACCAACGGAACCCGTCCTGCCAACTTGTGAGGTGGCTCGTAGGTGAGCTGGTGTGCTCCGGCTGCAGCGAGTGGGAAAAGAGGCGGGGACTTCACAGATCTGCACATGTTAAAGGAAGCATCTAAGCAAAAAAAAGAAAATCTGTGTATGTGACTGTGATATGGTACTTTGATGGGTTTTTACGGGTTTAATCAATAACCAAAGAGGGACTTTGGGCAAAATAGAATAAAGAAGGTCAACAGCAAAATACTACTGCAGGACCTCTTAATGTTATGGAGGCTGGTACATAGAGTCACTAAAGCTTAACAGAAGTTAATATTGGCACAGTATGATAAGAACACAGCAGGACTCGTGTGGCGACTCCTGTTGCATTTAGGTATAAAGGTTAATGACAACTACGTCCTGCTTCACTTCGCGTCTCATATCGTTCTTTAATGTGCGCCACACAGGCACGTTATCTGGACTTCAAGCAGCGCCGGCAAGGCAACTTTCCCGGGTCTGGCTGATGCCTACGCCAAAGCCGAGTTATCAGGAGAAGCCAGCGACTGGGCCAAAGTGCACTACCACCTGTCAGTGGTGAGCCAAGCCATCGAGGGAGCCGCCAACACACTGGCAGAAGTTATATAGAGACGGATCAGGAGCGAGGAACTTCATCAACTCAGGAAATAAGAGACAATAAGCACTGATGCGCCGTGATGAGACTATTTGTGTACGGTACTGCAGCACATAAGGGGAATGGCACATCAATAAAGAAAGATTATAAACAAGATCAGTAATGAATGATGTCTTCTTTCTTTATCGCAACATTCATCTTTTTCATTAAAGCCCTTCATAAGAGATGAACCACAACCGCTGATACAGTTCACTGATGAGCCTCGGTGGAGGATTCTGCCACAGAATCATGTGCAATGAAACACAACACTGGCTGTGATTTTCTTTGGAAAATCAATGACTAATCCTTTGATCCTGATCAAGGAGTTTGTACCTCATCATTATTTACACATTTCTAAGCTCAGACGATCAATGACGGAGGACGAGACAAGAACAGGACACCGAGCAGTTACACCTCTGAGCCGCCACCGATGAGGAAAGGTTCTGCAGAGACGCCGAAGGAGGACGGCGCAGCGTAAATTTACCGGGTTTATGATCCAAAAAATAATGGATAGAGGCCGTCATCCACTGCAGTTATTGGACTATATGATGGTACTCAGAGGGATGGAAAGATAGAAAGATTGGTGCAAAGGTTTGTTGGATGAATGCCTACTTACAACATGTGTCCTGCCAAAGATATCTGGCAGCCGGTACCAGCTAACCTGGAAGTGTTTAAAGAAACACGAAGCGACTATGTGACCTCCACAGAGGCCAAATCGTTTGAACACACTGCAGATGCAAAAGCAAAAAAAAAAAAGAGCTGAATAATTTTGTCAGTCGGTGGTTCAGTCTGGATTATGACAAACAAATTCTAAGCAAATCCTCATGCCTGCTGAAGGCCTAAAGGTGAAGTCACAGCGCTGCTTCCTGCCACCAGGGGTCAGAAAACGCTTTGAGAGCAAGTCAGTCACACCAGAAGTGACAGTAGAAGCTGCCAACTCTGTCAAACCAGCCATCTGGGGAGGGAAGTTTCATAGATTTAAATAATGCTTCCAACAATCTTCCTCAACCTAAATAATAATCTTGCACAACGCAAAGCTGTGAAGAAAGAGTAAAAGATCTCAGAGAGGAAGTTGGAAAGAAGCAGCAGCATTAAAACAAACTGCCCTTTTGTGACTACACAGGTTCTCCTCCCTAACCGTCTTTCCCATCCAGGCTCTCTGGGGGACTTCTGGTTTAGTCAAGGCCCCCTCCACTCTGGTTAGAGTTTACGGCGTCGGTCACACCCATCCGAGCCCTTGGAGCTGCTGCAGGAGCTCAGGAACCGCACTGGTGTGTAAATGAGTAACTGCTCGTTTGTGTGTCGCTGGATGACGGAGGTGGGTGGGTTCATTTATTTTTAACTGCAATTCCTCCCAAAAAAAACCAAAACGGTTTCTTTTGTTTTTAAATGACAAACTTTGGGTCATATGGAGTCTATTAAGGGTTAAAAGACGGCTTCAGAACGACACGCTGCAGGTGGATCAGTCACACATCCAACACTTTCACTGCCAAAAGCTTTTGTACGGCCACAAAATGTACAATGACCTCATCAGAGGAAGACAGCAAATATTTTTCCGAGCACATATTTTATTTGCAAGTTCTTTGGACATGGTGACCGGTGTGTTCCAGGGATGACTGGCTGTTTGTTGGTCAGATATATTTAGCTGTTCCTCTGTATTTTTAGCAGGGGAACACTTACGAACCATGGATTTTTTTTGTTTTTTGGAATGAGTCTACATTCACACAATTTGACATTAATATCTGCAGATCAGCCAAACGCGGCCCGTTTCGTAGCGACTGAGTGGTTTCAGTGGCGCAGCAGAAACCAGGGAGAAAGCACATTATGGCTTCAAGGGCTCCATAATGCAGGTTTGTAAACAAATTGCAGGAAGGGAAATTGAATTGAATCCGTTTTCTCATGCTTTCCTTTGCGGATCGCGGTCAGCTGCCTCCTTTATTGTGTTATATGTCGTCCTGAGTTTGTGATGAACATCGGCGCTGACATAATACCACAAATTTGCTTTTTATGAAAGCACATGCACACAGAGAGGTCCGGGCCGTTTGTGCAGTGGATAAACAGCTTACGTAATTTTTGATGGAACATTACCTTCTTTGTGAGCTGATTTTGTTATCGGTTATGCTTTTCATTGCAGAAAATTCTCAGATGTTACACAAGGAAATTGAAACATCGCGGCATAAGTCTGCTTCGTCTCGTTAACGGTTTTGGTAAACGTGGATTATAAAAACTGAAGAAGGGGTACGGAGGCCAAGAGGAGATGGGAAGGAGGTTTCTGCCTACGTAAGGTCTTCTTTCCCTTTGAGGCTCTCTTGTAAACACGGTCTGTCAGGGGCTGCTAGTAAACCTAAAGTTTACAGAGTCAGTCAGACGGTGTGTTTAACAGGATTATTGGGGTGGAAATAGATAAGTCTGTCAACAATTAAGTATTTCCTTGACTTAATTGTTCTATTTCAGTTCTATTTCTATTTCAGGTGCTGCTCAGCATCTGGGTTTCAACTGTATTGACTTGAGATCTTGTCTTTGAATTTAGAAAAACTTGATTCCTGACATACGGTGACATATATATAAGGCCAGCAGCTGCAGTGGCACTAAATCTGAGCTGGTAAATGAATGCATCTATTCCTAAAAGCATTTCATTTTGCAGCGTAATTGATTCTTTTGGTGCAGAACAGTCGGGCCTAAACCCAATTCCCTTAACGAGGTCAGTGTCATGTGGTAAAGTTTGCACAAGCGCCAAAAACAACAACAAGCGTAGGCTGTACTCGCCAGTCGCAGAGTTTATTCTTTTAAATATACATAGACTTTATCCCCCCCCTCCCCATATTAAATACCCCACCACCCTGCCCTCCCTCGTCGTCCCTCCCTCCTCCCATTTCTTCCCTCACTCAATTCTCTGCTTTCTTTGTTTCGCCCTCCGGAGAGAAAGCTTGTCCGGCTGAAAAACACACTCTACTTTGTGCAGCATATTGCTTATTAAGACATTTGCGAAAAAACATAAATTAAAAATACTACAGCTTGTCTTTTTTCTTTTTTTTTTTTCCTCCAATTTCTGCTCCGACATCAGTTTGTTCCGAACAGAATCTTTAAAAAAAAAAAAAAAAAGAAAAAGATTATTTAAAAAAAAAAGAGAGAAAACAGCACAGTGTCCCTCAGTCTGGCTACATAGAATGAACTGGATTCCCATGTTTTCACTACACAGTGGTCTGTACCGTGGAGGGTGAAATGGTTCAAAGGAGAAATTTGTTCCTCAACAGATGTCCTGAGTTTGGTCGAATCGTGTGGGCTTCTACGTGATATGATGAGACATCCAGCCGAGTTGACTGACTGTACTTCAGTCGTCGCTTTCACTAGTGTTTGCGTCTCTGCTCGTCTGAAGCGCATCCCGCAGTCGGGGGCGACGCGCTTAATATTTGTGGCGTTTAATCAAATTCAAAGTTGCGGGGTTACAATTGCTGGTCCGATGAGGCAGTTGGATCTGCAGGCAGAGTGAAGGACAGTGTGATACGGCACTAGAGGAAAATCCAGGTGTTTAAGTCACAAGGCATGCATGTTAACACTGAACTCAGCGAGTCGCCACCAGAAGTGGTTCTGAGTCTTGTCAGTCTGTTTTGGTGTGTGTGTCAGTGTTTGTGCATTTCTTTCTTTGCGCAGACGACGGTGCTGAAAAAGCCCAACTTTTGGCTGCATACATGCCCGACTGCTCCTGCAATAGGATTTCTAACATTGTCAGCGAGCAGACGAATGAAGGAATGCCACGTTTGTTGGATTTACATTTCATATCTGAATTATTAATGGAGGATGAATGCATTAAAAAGGAGGGCTTGTGCAGCGACCGACTCTGCATCGTGTGTGCACGTGTGTCTCGTGTGCTTGTGGCGTGTCTCATCAAGTCTTATCAAGTTTTGTATCCATCATTCTAGCAGTCTGTCTGTGACCCTCCCTCCTCTTTCGGAAGCACAGGAGGGGCTGCGTTGGCATCGGGGGGGAGGAGAGTGGAAAGGTCGGGCTGGGGTCACACTCGGGGGGAGTATTTGGGGTTTCTTGGCACCTCGGTGAAAGATTTCAGCTCATACGGGATCCCCGTGTCCACTTCGATGGATTTGCGGGAGAATAGCAGCCGGATATCGTTGTGCAAGTAGATTTTCCCAGATTTGGAGCTCTGGAATCTGAGAAAGTCAGAATGAAATAAAAAAAAGGTGTCAGAAAAACAAATTGTATACTTGTGCGCAACAAAAATTTGCAAAGGCATCGTGTACTAGATGAGTAACAACACAACAACATTAAAAACAGACACGCTCACATTCCACTTTAGCTTTTCCAGCTATTACTGATCTTCTGATACTTTTCCACACGTCAACATTCAAGCTAATAAAGCAGCTGTAAAGAGTAAAAGCACAGACGAAATCTCAGGCGTACCTGAGATGTATCAGGTAGCAGAGGATCTTCTTCCTGTCTAGCACTCCGCCCCCTGGAGACGCCTCGCTCTTCCCCTCAACCCCCTCCTCCACCGGCACCAGGAAGATGCGGTGGCGCAGGAAGGTCATGTGATTGACGGGCATATCGCCAAAGTTGTATGTCACCAGGAACATCTTCACCACAGTTTTGTTGGGATTAAATAAGGTCTGAGGAAAGAGATATTTTTCAGCAAGACGACAAACACGTGACCCTTTTTGCAATACGAAGATCACTGCGTCAGATGTTGTGTTTTGTAATTATTTAAACGCTGTGGTAGCAGAGATGAGATAAATAGGAATGTTTTTTAAAAAGTATATGAACAATTTGGTCTTTTTCCTGCACAAAGAATGAAGCGACAGACTCACCACTTGAATGGTCCCTGCTTTGGGTATGCTGTATCCTTTCTTTCCAAGAGGCTCCAGAGATATCACCCCCTGTTGAGGGAGACAGACACTGAATTAATATGTTCAGTCACTGCAATGCTGAAATAACTCTCATTTTAATATCTGAGGTTTTCCACATCAGGACCAGAGTCATCCATCCATTATCTATACCCTCAC